GCTGACCTATCGCGTGCGTGGGTGGACTTTTAATCAAGTGTTAGATACGTTGGACTGGAAGGACACCGCCAAGAATGATGCCACGGTATTAGCATGGTTTCATACCAAAGTGTCTACCTCCGTTCCTGTGGATGAGATGCCTGCCTTTCGACTGAGTGCCCAGACGCGTACCCTACATCAAAAGAACCAACCTTTCTGCCCTTATTGACCTGACACTTGTTCACTGAACCTACGATCACCTGACTGTCAACATTCCTGATTGAGGAGTGTACATACGTTCACTGCGTTTTAGGAATGTACATACGTTCACTATCAAAGTGGCAAAAGTTCTTTTTTTCAAACTGTACATACGTTCACATACGTGTACATACGTTCATGTTCACAAAAGTCACAGGGACGCCCCTAATCCTGTGACTTTTGTTTTGTTGTGTTGGTTCATGTGAGCGGGGGATTAAAAAAAGTTGAACCCATAGTAGTGTTGTGTTGTCTGTAGGATGAAGAAAAACAAAACCTTTGCTTTGACGACCCTCCAACCCACACCATGAACCCGTCTCCTCCTTTCCTCCCTCCCTCCTCCTCCTCCTCCTCCTCCTCCTCCCACCTTCCTCCCTTCACCACCACCCTCCCTTCACCACCACCACCCCCACGTCTATGTGTAGAACAACAACAACAACAACAACAACAACAACAACAACAAAAGATTTTTGACGCGCTTCTTTCAATGTCGATCCTGTTCACCTTTTACGTGCGCTTCTCCGGGTTTTCCCCACCTCCCCGGAAACGGATGCGCCGCCATCTTGGATGCGCGCGCAAGTCCCATCATATACTGCGCGCATGCGCAGTCACGTGACCAAACCGAAACCGGAAGTGACGTCAGAGATCCTCTCGACCAATCAGAAGCCAGGAGCGGTCCCATACTGATGTTACTAACTACTTTGATGTATTTATTAAGATTTTAGATAAAACCATTGATCCTATTTTGTTGTATGGGGCTAGGATATGGGGTATCTCTAAGTTAGACTTTATTGAAAGAGTACACGCCAATGCATGTAAACGAGTTTGGGGATTTAAGATTAATTGAGCAAATGCAGTTGTGTATGGTGAATGTGGTGGATATCTATTATTTATATAAACAGTAAATATAAACGATTATAACGAACACGCTTATAACGAACTGACGGATATAACAAACTTACTTTTTTGGTCCCGACTATTTGCTGTTGTTATACTGTATATATGCTTATAACGAACTACGGTTATAACGTACTACAATTAGTAGTCCCTTTGAGTTCGCTATAACCGTACTTTACTGTACGCAGATTAACATGATACCGTATTGGGTACAATTATTACACAGGCCTCCTTACAGATACCCAAGAACATGTTATGAAATGACGCTATTGTATGATATAGTTCTGGAAGCGTAGATTGAGTCTTATCTGTTCAGGAAAATATGAATGAATTTGGTTTGGGTTATGTAGAAAAGGAAGAATACCCTGAACATTGTATAAACATGGTCACTCAAAAACTAAAGGATGTTTATATACAAAAATGTTTAACTTGGCATTAAGATTATCAACGAAATGTGAATATGTACTGTTTTAAACTTAGGTTTCAAATTCTTTTGAAACCTATTTTGCAAAAACAATGTAATGTATTTTCCTCGAATAAGATGCTCATCGCATACTCTTAACATTGAACAGACACGTATTAGAAGATAGAGTTTGTAGGTGAGGTGAGGTGAAATTGGGTTTAACGTCGCGTCCAAAATAATTGCACTTATACAGCGACGTGCATGCACGTGTGTGTGTGTTTGTGTGTGTTTGTACTAGTCCAGTCTGATGCCGATTTATAGTGCTAGCTCACTTTGATACCATGCTGCAGTTTAACATGAATACCCCACTCAGACACAGTATACTGACTCCGAGCCGACCAGTCCATGTTTTAACCCCTTTATGCCGAGCGCCAGACAGGGTAACAACAATTACCATCTTTTAACGTCTTTTGGTAGGACGCGGCCGGGGATCGAACCCCGGACCTTCCGCTCTCCGGGCGGACGCTCTACCACTAGACCACGGAGTCGGCGTAGAGTTTGTACATTGTGCAAGGAACCGGAAGTAGTAGATGAGTACCATCTTTTCTTTGTATGTCCAGTATTCGAGCATTTGCGTATTGAATATTTATCGCCATATTTATACCAGCCACCAAACATTTTAAAGTTTATTGTACTTCGGAAAATGTCAACGTGACATTATATGTATTTCAAGCAAAGAAATATAAAAAACTACTTGTTAAAGATTCATTAAACGTATGTTTATTACACTATCCATTGCAATCTGCACTATATAGGCCTGTGGCCTTTCAGTATATGTGTAAATAAAGATTAATTGATTAATCCCCTAGACAGTCAATTCCCTTCAATTGATCTACCCGCCTGAACCAGAAATAAAAGAGACTGGTGAATCTTTCTCTTTATGTCGGTTTATATTCCAGCAGCTCTAGGTTTAGTGTCTTGAATTCACAACATTTGACTACAATCGAGCATGTATTTCTACGACTCTTGCTCAAACGTTTGTTGATCAGGGTGACAACATTCAAGGACAGTTTTTTCTTTCAAAATGTTTTAGGGTGATCACGAGGCCATTTCTAAATTTGACACATCAGTTATCAAAATGACGAGTAACTTGGTTTCCTGTGTTTGCTCTGCCTTTGCATGTGTTTGTGACTGATGCCATCGGCGGAGCAGGATGGGATCACATTTTCGCGAACTACTAGTATCATTACCACTTGATAATGATTCATAAACGCATGCTCATCATAAAGTCTGAATCGTACAATGGGCTCTGCTTTAGCAGAGATTTCTTATGATTATGGAAAGTGTTTTGACGGTTTTATTCACAACACAAGCTTTTCTGTTTTACTCTGTGATCCCTACTTGATAATATTTTATGGGCGGTTTGGTCAGCTGTGTTGATGGGTGGCCACATCTCCGTGTTGTCTGTCCGACACGACATGCAGTAACTGCAGTTCTCTTGTATCCGTTTTTTTTATCGTAGACTCGCGATTAAGTTTCTTTTGACGTGGATGTTGAACTGTAGAATACAGGTATAGGTAAAGAGACAGTTCAATGGTCTGCGGACACGTGAGTGATTGTGCAAGTTCAAAAGAGTTACATTTGTTCTGTCGTGTATGCCTTCATGTAAATAATCAGTTTAACAGTGAGTGATTTTACCGCGAATTGGCGTGTTTCTCAGTTGCGTGTGGATAAAATGTTGGGAAAATGACTCAAGCGACCATGATCAAAGACATGAACCACTATGGCGCAACCAAAGAACGCATTGTCCTGACAGCACAGAAGAACATTGATTCCAAAACCAGAATTTACCCATCAACATTATCATCGTGTTAAAAAGATTCTCCATTTATTTTGTGGATCACTGAGAAGAACACGGGTACATGTACATGAATTGATTGATATGTATTACGTAGGAATTGGTTGATGACAAGGCACCGAAACATCGCCTTTACAGTAAATAAAGAAGTTGTAATCCATACATTGTGTCTACTTTGTCCATCTGGATGGTACATAATTTGGTTCAGGTGAAAGCTGTGGTAGAGAAAACATCTGGAATGTTACAGTCAATGAAGCCCCTGATGTCACCTTTTCACAAGGCTACGTTAGGTGTGAACCCAAGGCTTGGGTCCAGGTATTGTCTCAATAACTTACTGTTTGATCCTAAACTCTAAACAGGAACTGTACTCATTGAAAGGTCAGCATCCTCATACCACCTCCAGCCACTGCTCCCAGAACAGTTTGAGCCGTGCCCGCAATCCAGCTGAATACCGACCGGAAGCCATCTCTGAGCTTGATACGCAGCCCTCTGTTGACACACTGTGAGGTCACCTCGTCGTTGTTGATGAACACAACAAATTTGTTGCACTGACTTCCGGCGTAGAACTTGACAGTGAGGAATCTCCCGTACACCTCTATGCTGGCATTCCTCCACACCCAGTCAGGCTCGCCCCCTAGCACAGAGTAGCAGCACTGGAGCACCTTCCGGTCCACACCCAGTGGACGGTGCTGCTTCTCTTGGATGACCACTAGGCTACCCGACCGCCCCGACTGGGCAACAGCTCGCCGACTAAACAACACGGTACCACGACACACGAGGCCATGCAATGGGAAAACCTGACCCTACTGTTAATATACTATGACAGGGTAACCGTGACATATTCTCGATATAGAAATCCTGATAGGGGTGTAAGTATAGAGTACTGGGGAACAACCATACCTTGCAATACCTACAAGCACAGTACTATTCAATCTCAAAAGCTAATCCTCCAAGAACAAATATATAACGCGTTCCGTACGAGATAGGCGATATACAAGGCATCCTGTCGGGTGTGGTGTTGTGTGATAGAGAGTTCACATTCCAAAATGATCACAAACGTTCCAAAGTTTCAAAAGAGCGATGCGGGGTATTTACAGCGACGTTAATGCACAGTTTTCGCGGATATGAAATTATTCTTCTTGTACTTGTGGAATCAAATCAAAAGTTCCAATAGGACTGACATACTTCATCTTAGATAGACTGATGACTTGATTCACCACAACATACCTACCATGCCTTGGTTGTGCGCGTGCTTGTTGTTTAACGGCACTCATCAAGATGGCCAGAAATAATCTACTCTGGGCTAGGCATTCCGGTGATTGATATTATGACCATTGATCCACGCCTTCGGGTACGTGGCCACGTCATCAACCAAGTCACCGTGCCTGACCAACTAATCCATTGAGTCGCCTCTTGCCATCAGCATGACTGACTCCCATATTTTAACATACACTTACGCCTGTCGTAGCGCTCCGATCGCTTTGTGGAACGGGGCGCAGGTCTAACACGCAGCCACCACGGTTCTTGTCTTGAGACAAGGTTGTGGATGGCGTGACCTTGCTGATACTGGTGAGATATGAACTTAAACGTGAAGAAATGTACACTTACAGCGGACACCATATCGTCATCGTCACCCTGCAAATACAATGATCAGTGTCAAATGTTCTGATTTTGTACCTTTGAAATTAAAAAGAAACCACGTCCTGTTTCCAAGCTTCGTAATAGTATTAGTAATAAACATTGTGGGATTCTTACTCTATTTGTTTCAAAAAACTGGCCATGAAAATAATTTTTATATATGCCCGTGTATATAAATGCCAAAAAATGAAATATCTGCTAAAAGAACAGCTAAATGATGACACCAAGTATCTCCCACTGTTTGATAGTGATTCATAAACACGTGTTTATTATATAGTCCGAATCGTAGAATGGACTCCGAGATGTCTTGAAAGATTATTGAAAGGGTTTTCTCGCTTTTATTAATATACACAATTCCAACAATACCGACAATTCTTTCCTGACTTAAAGTTTTCTTCCATGGACACCAGCATTGTTCGAGATTTCAAACTGATGTACTAGGAGTGAGTGACTGAGTTAAGTTTAACGCCGCTTTTAACAGTATTCGAGTTATATCACGGCGTGTCAGCTTAATGTGAGAGGAAAGCCCGAAGTGATGCAGGTCTCAGACGTTTATCACTTCGGTGAAATCCACGAGCACGGGTATGGTGCTGACAAACCTAGAAACATAATCGGAGCGAACCGGGATTCGAACCCACAATCATAGGTTTCTGGCGTGCCCAAGGGACGCATCTCTGCACAGCGAATCGTGGCGCCTTAGACAACTGGGCCACCCGTGCCCCCAATGTGCAAGGAACTGCGAAGGCTATTACATAGCAACGGTGAGAAACCTAATCACTCATCATTGCAACAGATAATAGGTTATGAGTGGAGAATGAAACTAGACTCCATGTGTGGGGTCCTGCTTCAATCGATGTAATGACACTGCATATAAAGAAGACGACCCGTAAAGCGTGTCGTAACAGGCGACTATTCTTGTGATAAGACTAGCGGGACCGAGTGGTCAGGCCCGCTGACTTGACTGATGCATGTCATCGTATCCCAATTGCGTGGATCGATGCTCATGATATCAATCACTGGATTGTCTGCTCCAGACTCGATTATTTACAGACCATCGTCATATAGCTGGAATATTATTCTTGAGTGGGGCGTTACACAACAAACAAACAAACAAAGCAAATGGAAACCTGACCTTACGTAATACGTTATAACACGTCCCATTTTAATTTCTGGAAACCCAAAAGTCCAGAAACTCTACGGTCTTTGCCAAGTATCGGTCAAAGTTATTTACAAAATTAAACATGCTGTTTTTTAATGGGAACATACCAAGGAAGAAAAAATGAAAAAAAAATGTTTAAAAACTTAATATTTACACTATGTCGCCCATGGGCAGGCCCATGGGCGAGAATATATTCCTTTACTTAAAACTCATGTTTTAGTTTCGCAAATACATTAAATGTATTCATTCAAGTATCATGACACAAAATATAACTCATTTTATAGCGATATTGAAACTCATAACTCATATATAACTCATTTTATAGCGATATTGAGTGAGTGAGTGAGTGAGTATGGTTTTACGCCGCTTTTAGCAATATTCCAGCAATATCACGGCGGGGGACACCAGAAATGGGCTTCACACATTGTACCCATGTCGGGAATCGAACCCGGGTCTTTGGCGTGACGAGCGAACGCTTTAACCACTAGGCTACCCGACCGCCCCATAGCGATATTGAAATATTTCGCCCATGGGCGAGAAAAAGGTTTGGCCCATGGGCAGGCCCATGGGCGAGAATATGTTCCTTTACTCAAAACTCATGTTTTTGTTTCGCAAGTTATACATTAAATGTATTTATTCAAGTATCATGACACAAAATGTAACAAAATTAAACTCATTTTAACTTAATTCAACTATTTTATAGCGATATTGAAATATTTCGCCCATGGGCGAGAAAAAGGTTTGGCCCATGGGCGAGAATATTTTCCTTTACTCAAAACTCATGTTTTTGTTTCGCAAATACATGCGGGTGTTCTTACCATTTTCATGGCACAAACTGTAACTCAATTTTACTTAATTCAGCTATTATATAGCGTTATTGAAATATTTAGCCCATGGGCGAGAAAAGGTTTGGCCGAGAATATTTCCCTTTGCTCAAAACTCATGTTTTAGTGTCGCATATACATAAAGGTGTTCTTAGAAGTTTCATGTCACATAATTTAACAAATTTTAACTTAATTCAACTATTTTACGGCGTTATTGAAATATTTCGCTCTGGACGAAAAAGATTGGCCCATGGGCGAGAATATTTACCTTTGCTCAACAGTTTTAGTTTCGCAAATACATAAAGGTGTGTCTATAAGCATGACACATGATTCAACTATTTTACGGCGTTATTAAAATATTTCGCCCATGTTTTCGTCAGTCCCTTTAAAGCATCAACAAACCGTGTGCAAAGTATATTGTATCGTGTTAAATATACTCTATATTATATCATTACATTACTAATTAAAATAGGGCATTTGATTGGATGTTTCCTCTATAGAAGTTCTACAAATTTCACCTGTGTTACATTTTGTAGCGATCTTTAATGAACCCGGCCTTACCTCTCAAAACGTTTTGACAGTTTATCATACGAATCCATGTGCGTGTACTCCAATTCATTGGAGTTATTTTCCACAACATTAAAGTTTAGTTAGTTTCTATTTCATTTATCATTCTATGCCCCGTTGATACATCACACTGGGCAATTACGTGACACTAGGTATGCAATATACAGGTACGCGTGCGCGTATTTTAATGAAAAAAAACTATTCGTCTTTTATTGCAGAACGTTTGGCTGAATATCTTACATTCTAACGAAATCTCGAAATAATTATTTAATTACATGCGGTGGCGAACTGACCAGTGGAGAATTATGTTTCAATGCGATTGAGGAAAACGTGAGTGAATATTGTGACACTAAAGCACCTTTTAACTGAATTGCCACTTGGGGTATGAAAATGGTAACAGTTCAGAAAAAAACAACAGCCTTCTTATGATAATTCTCATATTCTCATTAGGACGTTGTATCTAATTACAGTGTCGGCGTTATTTACAAGTGATTCTACAATACCTGCTGTCGGTCAATTACGATCTACCACACCACGCGTGAATAAACAGTTATGCAGGCGTTGCTGTGGGCAAACACCTAGCCTGAAAATTTGTTGTTTGTTGTGGATACATATTTTACAAATGTTCGTTGATATGTGGATATATTAAGCACAAAGACAAACAAATGTTTATGAAAGATGAATTAGTGCCTTGATATATTCATCAAGATGAGTATCATCGTTTAAGGGGGTCATTCAATAAACGTATGTTTGGAGGAGATATCAAAGGAGCCGCCCAATATACACAGTGTCGTCCGGTGAACTACCACCCCACCCTGTCCATAAGAGTTATGTAATCGGTACACAAATATATTTGATGCGATGTCAGTGTGGAAGGAGTTTGAATTACGTCCGCCACTGGCCACAGAAATCCTCAATCACTGGATTGTCTGGTCCAGACTCGATTATTTACAGACCGCCGTCATACAGCTGAAATATTGCTAAGTGTCAAACCCAGAATTGCAGTTAGATCCCCTATATGCTGTAGATCTCCTGTAGTCAAGAGATGCAATAGCGAGGCAGCAATGTCAATTTATGAGGGACAGACAGCTACTCGAACATATATAAACATAGCAGCCAAAGATAAAAATGAAATCATATCATGTACGAAAATAGAAATCATATCAACACAAAAAGAGAAAGTGTATGAGTACTAAAACTGGCAATAGATATGCGTACCCTGCGTACACACATGAGTCCCATTCGACTGTCTACAACACACGAATAACTGTCAAACAAGTTTGGGTACCCCTTCTGTTCAGGCAACTTATTTAGTTTGATAATTTTGTATTAAAATCCTTTTCAATTTGTTTGCACCATTTTCCCTATTCCATGCATGTTTATGCTGCTACATCTTATTGCTCATGTTTCCAAGTATTGTAAAACACTTCAGTGTTTCTCCTTCTTAATCTAACGTTATAACATTTCAGGTCATTACCATCATCTAATACACAAGAGATGATACCAAGACATATTTTATTCGGTTTTATGGTCTATGCGGTCTTACAATTGATTTAATTAGTGCTTAAATCTTATGTCTAGTACATATTTTCACAAACAGGGCTGTTAGATGATATAAGGAAGGTAACTTCCAGTTGAGGACTGAATACCACGTACTTTAGTCTGTTAACGACGTTTCTACAATTAATATTTTGAATAAGCCATTAATACGCCAGTTGTGACAGGGATGATGGTATGGTAGCTGTAGCAGACAGATTGACAGCCGTTGTTACGTGAGTCACTAGGTTATTAGTACGGCATTGGCCTTGTTGATTGTTACTCTACTTTGAGGATTTCTGTGGCCAGTGGCGTACGTAATTCAAACTCCTTCCACACTGACATCGCACCAAATATATTTGTGTACCGATACATTACTCTTACTGACAGGGTGGGGTGGTAGTTCACGCGAAACGGACGACACTGTTCCTTTAATATCGCCTCACAACATACTTTTAATGAATGACCCCTTAAACGATGATACACATCAGGATCGCGGAGAAAATACAAGATTCGTTCTCGTTGAATATATATATATCAAGGCACCAATTCATCTTTCATAAACTTTTTGTGCCTTTGTGATTAATATATCCACATATCAACGAAAATATGTAATACATGTATCCACAAAAAATATACATGTACAGGGCATTGCCTAAACGTCGGGCCGGACCAAGACGGGCCAAAGTGTTATTGGCTAATTACTTGATTATCGGCGATCATACCTTCATATAATTGATGCAATATAAACACATGACATGAATGAACAATCACCAAACAAAAAAGTGCACCATAATTAAGTAATTCGGAGTAAATCGCTTGAAAACCAGAAAGTGGAGCTGTGTGTAAGCGTCGATGATCTAGCTAACCTGTAAAAGAGCAATCGTTAACCGAAATAAGATTTAAAACGT